CACTTAGTATTTATGAGGGAATGCATGACTGAGGAAGAGCTGACAGGCTTCAAATGAACAACTCCTATGAAGAAACAAGCGTGATTCTAGCACACAGGCCCTAGGAACTAACTAGACAAAGAATTTCCCAGATGTCTTTCTTAGGACTGGGACGATGATGGTAGGTAGTGCATTTTGATTATTCAAACACCTAAAAAGGTTCAAACGTGAGAGAAAGAAAAAGGCCTCATCACCTGAGGAAATAACATCAGAATAACCTGAGCATAGTTATTTCACAAAGACAAAACCCAGCCTCTTACTTGAAACAATTTGAGGGCAAAATGTACATACTCTAGTTTTCATTCTGCACCAACAGAATCTAAATGATGCAGCTGTGTAGGTTTTCATGTTCTCTTTTAAGACATTCATTCGAGCAAGAGAAAGCAGTCAATAAAGCAGAATCAGGGGAGGAAATAACTTGAGCTTGCTTTTCTTTTCAATAAACCACCAATAAAATAGACCACGGGAAGGAGAGAGAATCGCCTAACTTAATTAGAGTTCCCCTTTTCCCTGCATTCATCCTAACAAGCAAAAGCAAAGGTCAAAAGACACACAGTACTGATTCAGAAACAAAACATGCAGGGCAAGCTTGCTTTAAGTAAAACAAATAAATGACCCTTTTCTCCTTCACTTTTTTCTAAGAACAGTGGGAGAAAGAACAGACACTATCAACCCGTTTCTAATTATAAAGGGCACAGATAAGAAAGGAAAATATTTCTCTCCCATTCACTGAAGTTCCACAAATCTACACCAAGCAAGTACAATGGGCCAAGAATTTTCTGAAGTATGGTTTTAAGTAGTAAGAATTGAATTATGAAAGGAAGCGGAGGAGGTTTGTCATACTAGCCAGAACTTGTAAAGAGAAAACTGAGAAATTAGGCAGACAACTCACAGCACAGTTGCCATTTTCTATCCCAATGGGGCATTCCAGAAACCAGAAACTAATTTGATGAAATAGTCTGCATCCCACAAAAATCTTTGTTAATAATATTTTGTAATCCTATACTGAGCATCTACTGCCACCATCCCCTTTTATGATATTTAGAGTGGCTCTAAATCTCTGATTTTGAATCGTATTTTAATGTCCTTCGTGTTTTCCATCTAGTAATCACCCACACCTTGGAATCCCTACTTTAGAAGATGTGAACGTAAGAAGATAGTTCAGGATTACAGGGAGCTCACATAAGTTATAGCAGATATACCAGTGTTTACCAAATACAGTTCCAAATTAAAAAAAAAAAATGACAAAAGGGAAACTCTCCCTGTTGCATGCATTCTGAAAAGAGAAATGATGATCACCTGGGAGTGGTAGAGGGACTAAGGACAGCCTCAGAGAAATAGGTGTATTTGTGTTACGATACTTATGATTTGAGCATGTAAAGAAGGAGGAGGAAAAATTTCTGTTACAAGTAATAATAAGAATAAACATATCTCTGGTGTTTGTGGAGAATCAGACCCTGCTCTGGACACTTTATGTCAGCCATCTCTTAAATTTAACCTAAATCAAGAAATTATCCCATTTTGCAGGTAGGAAAATTGAGGGTCGGGACACTTACGCAGTTTATTCACAGACTTGAATCTCTGCCCATTCTATCCCAGAGTCTTCATGCTTCCCAAAGAAAACTACAAAAGCCCAAGAGATACAAAGGGGTTAGACCTACGACAAAGCATCCACTGTGCCCTTCGGCTGCAAGGAGGTAGAGTTGGGGAAAAGGGGTTAGGGATGTTGAATTAAACTATTAGGACTCTGTACAGCAACAAAGAGAAACTAAAGGTTTCTCAGCAGAGACTGCTAAGCTAAAAGCAGTATGTTAAGCATTGGGCCATGAATTATGAATTGTATCTTATGATCTGAAATGATAAGGATCAGAAGTTTAAAGAGGCTTGCCCTACCTTCACACAAAAGGTGTGGCTAGAGACCAGGTGCAGCTACTGCTACATAGCTGTTCAGACAAATGCCCAACATGCCAGGCCTTGAGGAGGATTCTACACAGCAGGCAGTAAGAGAAAGGCAATAAGCTTCTGTGACCCCACAGAACAAGGACCTACTCATCCCTGGAGCTGTCCAAATCTGGCAAAGGGATAGCTCCAGGGAGTGAAGCATTTGCTGGAACCTGAGGCAATTCCATGGTGCCTGAGCATAGATAAGGGATTCATTATCAGCAAAGCCCAAATCCTAGCTCCCAGCCCTGTGCTCATTTCATCAAAATGCACTGGTCTGTCACCAGACACGTGACACAGAACAAGACCCTTTCCCTAAGGAATTCCCTTTCTGCATCGGCGAAAAGAAACGTTTAACACAGTGGTCTTCAGATCGTACAATATCCGGTGTTTCTTCGTCTGCAAAACACCACCTTAGAGGATCTCTATCCGTCAGTGGCTCGCTAACCAGGATCTGGGGGAGAAGCGACACATCTCCTGAGAGCTTCTCCAATTTGTAAACCTACTAGCAAAAAATAACTGTACTTATTTAGTTCTATGAAGCTTTCTGATTTTCAGTGAAATTGAGCTAGCCCTGTGTCATACTTTTAACTGCAAGCAAGATCACTAATGTCAAAAGTAATGCAATGACACAGGGCACTGTGATCATATCCAGGCCCAGGCAAGGAGCTCTTCAGCCTATCAACAAATGAACCCAGAACCCACAGCTGCCAGAGCCTGAGAGTGTCTTTTTTCTATTACTTGAGAAGAGAGAGAGAGAGAGAGAGAGAGAGAGAGAGAGAGAGAGTGTGTGTGTGTGTGTGTGTGTATGTGTCAGTGTGTGTGTCTGCGTGTGCCCAGGAAATCAAGCAAAAGTTAAAACTGTGATTTTTTTAGGAGGTGCGTGAGAAGAATCAGGAGGCATCTTTAGATGTTAACAAACTCTGACTACCAAAAACAAATTTCCAAGAGTAAAACTATTTCCTTCTTAAGAGATTAGCAAGTATGTGGATCCAAAAAAAACTTGGACTTAGCCTGTCATAGCAGAGGTGAAGTAGAAAGAGGATACAAGGCTTATTCTGCTCCCAGGATCACTGCTGATAGAACAGAAATGGACAAATGAAGCCAAATATTTTAAAATAATTTCTTACACTTCATCGATTCATCACACAGTTCCCAGTAGTTCACCCACAGAGGTGTCTATGTGTGACTTGTTCTCATATCCAACACACTCTAAAATTTGGGGCCTATTAAACCTATGGCTTCGCCTTCTCTGACCTCCAGTCAGGGGACAGGAGACAGGAATGACTGATAAATGTCAACATTAACATTATAGAACCAAACACAACCACATATTGACACTTACCTCATGGTTATTTATTTTTAGAAAACCAAACGTGAATATGCATCCCTTCCCCTGACCTGAGAAAGGAAAATGTGTCCAAAGTGTAGGACACAACCATCAGCAAGACTGCCCCTCTCCCACTGGAGAGTCCTGAGACTCCTACACTACAGGGACCACGCTGCACACCCGCCCACGTTCTGTTCCGGGAAAGAGATTAGGATACCTTTGCAGTCATGTACTTAAGGTCCCCTGGCTGCCAAAAATTGGCTGATTCCTGGAGGACCACCCAAAACTGCCACTTACTTAAAAAAACACACAGAGTAATACTTAACACATGCTTTAGCAAACCCATGAGAAGGCACAGCCTGCAGAAGACAATTCCTGAAAGGGGTAAGGGCTTTCTCCCCATTTCTTGCCCAAGGCACCAGACTGGTAGATCTAGGATCACAGGCACAGTAAACCCAGCAGAGTTAGTCCCAGCCTTGCTGCATCAACTCCTCTGTCAAAAGCCTCACACCTCATCCCTTGTGATGGCAGAGACTTAGTGGAATGAGCTATCCAAGGCACCTGGATGTCTGAACGCGATGTGTGCTTCTAATCTCCTCAGCAATGCAGTGTGCCCCGTCAGCGGGCACCACCACCCAACCTGCCACCCGCCGACCAGGAGCTATGCCAAAGACACTGATACCGAGAAATCCAGAAGGGGGTTAGAAAGAGCATAGACTTAGAGCAAAACGAGTGCATAGGGATCCAAGATCTCACTCTAAATTCTAGGATTCGAAATTGTAGATGTGAGAAGTACACCAATTCCTTATGCTAACTTCAGGGGAGTTACATACACAAAAAACAAAACCAGAAAGCTGGGCGGCTGAGGCTGAATCCCTAATCCAATGCAAAGCTTTAAGAACGGGGGCCCTCTAGCAATACACTGCGACTGCTCCCCACCTCCCCAAAGCCTCCTGATTTGCGACCTTTGTTCGTGAAGGGAAGAGAAGGAGACACAACTGTTTCAGCACAGGTCTACCTTTCACGCTAGGACCCTGCAGTGTGGAAGGGCCGAGCGGGAGGACGCGATCAATGGAGAGGTGAGGGTGGAACAAAACCACGAAACGGCCCTTGTGAGCTTGTCGTAGGCCAGGCCCTGCCAAAGTCTCATAACTACTGCACTGAAGTGCTTAACTAAGTACTTTAAACATCTCTTTACTAGTACAGAATAATCCAAAGCGCCCCCCTTTTCTTACTGGTACTGGAGACGGAGCTCAAGATCTTCACAATGACCTGCCTCATACCCAGCCTTTAAATTTTTTAAAATTTTAAGACAAGGTCTTGCTAAACTCGCCAAGTTTGCCCAGACCAAGCTCAAATTTAGGATTCTCCTGCCTCAGCCTCTCAGAGTGCTAGGATTACAGATTACAGGCATGCATCACCACCCACAGCCTACTTTTGGAGAGTGAAGTTCATGCTAAGGAAGGAAAAGGACCTGCCCAAGTTCATGAAGTCTTGGTTACAGAGCTTGACCCACCAGGTGTCCAGAGTCACAGTCCTGAGACCAGTGCTTGAGAGACCCAGCCTGAAAGACGGAAAGCAGAGCGGGGACAAGCGGTCCTGAGCTGCGGGAAGGGAGAAGGCTCAGCAAGCATCCCAGCGCCGCAGGCAGGCAGGGGTGGCGGGGAGCGGAGAGGCGCGCGCCCGGTACCTTGAGGTAGGCCCGCTGCAGGTAGTTGTAGGGCACCCGGCGCTGGAAGTCGCTGCGCACATCCTCGCTGGCGCGGTGCGGGGACTCGGGGCCCCCGAGGCGCTGGTCCTGGCAGCGGCGGTGGCAGCCCGCGCGCTCCAGCAGGGCGCGGAAGAAG